AAAATATGAGTAATAGGTACTAGGCTTAGTACATGGGCGATGAAATAATCTGTACATCAAACCCCCGTGACACAAATTTACCTATATAATAAACGTGCACATGTACCCCTGAACTTAAGGTAAAGTTTTTTTAAAAAAAGAGAATGTTGATATAGGCCCCCAATTTCTTCTGGCTTGTCGAGTTTCTACTGAAAATTCTGCTGTTAGCCTCATGGGGTTCCCTTTGTAGCTGACCTATCCCTTCTCTCTAACTGCCTTTAACATTTTTTCTTATATTTCGACCTTGGAAAATCTGATGACTATCTGTCTTGGGGATGTCTTCCTCTGTAGTATCTCACAGGATTTCTCTGCATTTTCTGAATTTGAATGTTGGCCTGTCTAGTGAGGATGGGAAGGTTTGCATGAATGATATTCTGCGATATGTTTTCCAAGTTGCTTGCTTTCTCCCTAGCTCTTTCAGGGACCCAGTGATTCATAGATTTTGGTCTCTTTACATAACCTCATATTTCTCAGAGGTTTTGTTCATCCTTTTTTATTCTTTTTTATGTATTTTCTGTCTTACTGAGTTATTTCAGAGAGCCAGTTTTTGAACTCTGAGATTCTTTCCTCAGCTTGGTTTATTCTGCTGTTAATACTTGAGGTTGCATTGTAAAATTCTTGTAGTGTGTTTTTCAGCTATTTGCTTCTATTTTATAACGATTATTTCATCCATCAGCTCCTGAATCATTTTATGGTACTCATTAGATTCTTTGCATTGGGTGCCCACTTTCTCCTCAATCTCGATGGTCTATGTTCCCATCCATATTCTGAATTCTATCTCTGGCATTTGAGCTATTTCAACCCAGTTAGGAACCCTTGCTGGGGGACTAGCGTGGTTGTTTGGAGGAAAGAGGCCACTCTGCCTTTTTGAGCTCCCAGAGTTCTTACGCTAGTTCTTTCTCATCTGTGTGGGCTGGTGTTCCTCTAACTGTGGTGTAATTTGGGTATAATCAGTAGGTTTCATTTCTGGATGTTTTCAGAGGGCCAAGGCTTTGTGCAGGGCCTTTATTTTTAGCTAAGTTCTTTGGTTTCACAGAGGAGCCTATTACCAAAAGTATTTTTGGTGTTGAAGTTTGTGCTGTGATCCAGTAGGTGGTGCTTAAGTGAAATGGCCAGTAGGTAGGCACTTGCTTGGCCATGTGGCTCCTCTGTATTTCCTCATGATTGCAGCTGTGCTCTCTGTCAGCACTCTGACAGTGTGAGCTCCTCTCCCACTTGAGTGCTGGCTGCAGATCTCGGTTTGGCTCTCCTGGGCTGCACACTGCAACTCTGGGGTGAGCTCAGGCTTTATGTGGCCTCCTCAGCTTGGAGGCAGCAGGGCCAGGGACCTTAGCAGTGGCTGTGACAGAGGGCCTTTCTCTTGTCTCTGGGGACTCCACTCCAGAGAAATGCAGAGTTGCTACCAATCAGTATAATCAGCCAAGGTTGGGGTGGCTGCACTGGGGGCCCAAGCTGGGGGCGCCCTACCTGATAACAAGCAGGGAGAGTGGGTAGGTCATAGGGTAGACAGACTGGCCTCTTCTCCTGGGGGCAACTACAGCTTCCTAGAAGTGTGGTTAAAGCACTCAGGATCTTTGTGCCTTTCCCAGTCCGAGGGCAGCAAGAGCAGTACCACTCTGCAGTGGCCATGGGAGTGGGCCTTCAGTTGTCTCTGGGACCTCTGTCTCAGAGAAACACAGAGCCCCTGCCACTGGAAATGTTCAGTCAGGGGATGAGACAAATGCACTGCTGGCCTGAACTGGGGTCCCTGCCTGGTGAAGAATGGAGGTTCAAGAGCTTATAGGGAGGAGAGACTGAGCTTCTCCCTGTATGGTGGCTGTGGTGTACTCGGAGCATATGTGAAGCCCTCAGACTGTTTCTTCCCTATACCAAGGGCAGGAGGAGCAGAACCACTGCTGTGGCAATGACAAGAGGGGCTGTTGATTGCCTCTGGGAGCCCTCACCAGGGAACCTCAGAGCCAGTACCAGTGGGTGTGCTCTGCTGTGATGAGGAGGCTGATCTGTGGTCCGGAGCCAGAAGAGTGGGAGGCCTGGGCTCACAGGGAAGAGGGTCTGGATTCCTCTCCTTACCGTGTGTAGTGTGCTGAAGGTGCCAGCGTAGTGACTAGGCCTTTTGTTCCTTCCCTAGCCCCAGACAGAGCGGTTAGGGCGGTACCACTGCAGCTGCAATAGCAGAGGGATTGTGGGTTTTCTCTGGGAGTTCCTGCTGTGAGAACTGCAGAGCCACCTCCAACGGGCAAGTTCAGGTGGGGACAGGGTAGTTGTGTTGGAGTCCCAGGTCACAAGGGCCGCCCCGTAAGGAGAAACAGGATCGGAGACCTGTGTGGAAAAAGGTCTGGCTGCTTTTTCCACAGGGCAGCTCCATGGTGCTGGGGATCTGCACCAGTCCCTTGTCACCACGCACCCTCTGGAAGCCTGAAGGCAACAGGGGCGAGGGCGGCAAGACAGCAAAAATGGCGGCTTGCCTCGGTGGGCGCACCGTCCCAGGAAAACACGGAGCTGCTACCTGCCCAAGAGATGGCTCTTAGTATTTTCGGGTATATTCCTCTGACGACTAATCTGGGTTATTATCATGAAGGCAAGTTGATTTTATTTGCATCTGTTCAGGTGATCATTCGTGTTTTGCTTTTGATTCTGTTTATGCGGTGAATCACATGTATTGAATTCTGTATGTCAAAACAGCCTTGCGTCCCAGGAATAAAGCCTACTTGATCATGCTGTATGAACTTTTTGATGTGCTCCTGGATTCCCTGGATTCAATTTGCTGGTATTTTGTTGAGGATTTTTATGTCTATATTCATCAGGGATATTGGCCTGAAGTTTTCTATTTTCGTTGTGTCTATGCCAGATTTTGGTACTAGGCTTATTCTGCTTGACTCTTGACCATCAGTACATTTGGTAAAAGATGAGATAAGGTTACCTTGGGTAATCAAAGGTATCAAAAGGTAGGAGGAAGAAAAATATATTGCATGCCGAACACTTAAATATAGTATTGCATTTAACCTTAATAACAGCCAATCTGGTGTTCATTTCTCTGCTTAGTCAGTTATTACTTTGCAGCCATCACCAAATCACTTAACTCTAATTTGGTCCTTTTATTTCCTCTTCTGCAGAATAGAGACTAAAAATACCTATATTGTAGGATCACAGTGGGAATTAATGTGCATAATGTCTGGGAAACACTTATAAGGGTGCTTATCACATGATGGATAAATAACTGATAGGAAATAGGATGATAATAACTGTGATGTTGGTCATAAGCTCTTACTACTCAAAATGTGTCTCCAGGGCCAGCAGCACCAGTATTACCTGGGAGCTAACTAGAAATTAGGAATTTCAGGCCCCACCTCAGACCTCCCATGTCGGAATCTGCATTTTAAGGAGATCCCTAAGTAATTCATGTGCACATAATATGTTTGAAAAGCACTAGTATAGAAAAATGACTCTGGGATTCAGCAACTTGGCAGAACTCATCTAGTGGTAAACCAGACAGCTGGAAACTGCTAAGGCCAGCATCGTTCTCTTATATCCCTAAGGGTATCTGTGATTGGAGGTGTTCAGGCTTCCTGAATCCCATTGTGATGTTCTTCTGTAATCCAAGCTATAAATGAAAGGCTTTTTCCAAACATGTTTTCATGTCTACCACAGTAGCAAGAACACCATAATTTTGTTTTATTTTTCACATTTTTAACTATTCAGCTGTTTTATTTGTCACCATTTAGTTAGGGAATTATCACAAAACTTATGTCTAAAATGCATCTGATTAATGCATATTTAGGCAGCTAAGCAGATGTAGAATCGGTTGACTGCTATCATAAAATTAAACACTGATGAAACATATATTTGCACAGCAATAATGATCCTGGCATTTGTGTAAATATAACAGATCTATTTCCCTAATCATCTAGGGAAAAAAATGAGGGGAGGGTGACAGAATTACCAAATATGTCTGGCTTTCTAGGCAGATCATTTTCAAGTACAAATTTTTTTCATGTGAATAAAATCATGTTAATTAACAGCATCTATTACCACATTAAAATGAAATAATATATTTGAACAAAAACAATGTAGATAATATCAGAAGCATGTTTCCAGGTCATCTTATAATTTCCAGAGCTTCTTTGTACATCGTGGAAGGTGCATGTTTTTAATATACTCCTCTATAGTGCCATAGTTTGATTTTACACAAAATGTGTCGTGAGATTCAAGCCTAAGTAAGATATATATTTTTCCCCAATTTTAGCATCTCTGAAATTTAAATGTCTTACAATTGATGGCATATCAACACTGATTAGCAGCAGTTTTTCTTCTTTTTTTGTAATCAGTGGAATATTTGATTCAATTAGGGGATTAGAATTCCCAGTAAACTGAAACCTAGTCCACAGGGATTACCATGGTGAGATAGTGGAAAACAAGTGGAACAGGATGAATAGCTCATGCCTATGAGTGTTCAGGCAAAAAGAGAGGCCAATAAATAGAAGTAATGAAATTAAGTAAGAAACGATTTCATAGATTTCTATTTCCATAGAGACAGAAAGAAAAATCAAGGAAGATGAGCAAATTTGGCAAAATAGCAAGAAAGAAGAATAGGGAGATATAGGAAAAAAAAGGAGAGAGAACGAAGCATCAAGGTGGAAAATACAGCCAATAAGCCCACTATTGTGGTCATTATTTCCTAGGTGTGGTATCCTGTGGTAGACATTCAAGTTGGTGCTCCTTTTCTCATTACACACACCTGATCAGTAGTGGTCCTAGAGGGTAGGATGAGGCAGTTGTTTTTGGCACATTGTAGACGGTGTTTTCTCTTCTCTAGCCTGCACAGGTAGATCCACACCCCTTCCTGTGCTCCTGCCCTCCCGCAAACTCTGTACATACTTCTCTTTCCTCTGCCTGCTGCATTTCACCCAGCCCCAAACCACCAGAAGACATACAATGATTAACACTTCTGTTTGTTCTTTCAGGTGATATCAAGACTATCAAACAAATCTACGGTCTCACAGGTATGGCTTTTGTTAAAGAGCAAAATATTTATCTAAAATCTGGAGGATTACCAATAAATCTGTCTTTCTCTTCAGAATTTCATGTATTTATTTTTTACTTTCCCTACTTGACTTTCCAATGAGAGATGTGGCAACTGATTTGCTTGAGTTTGAGTATAGAGGAGAATTGAAACTCATATTTCTATGGAAGCATTTTATAGTTACCATTATAAAGCAGTTTGTTACCAAAACATGCCAAATGTAAAGTCCCAAGGTGTTGATCTTAAAAGTACTTTCATTGCATTTAAAATTGGTAGTCAGACTTTTTCTTGTAAATGTCAATAATGCTAAAAATATGGTTGAGAGATATTCTGGAACCATGTTTTATGATTCAATGAACTTTTAAAACAGTTTCAACTTTTAAGAACTCTCTAATTTCAAGAAAAGTTTCCCGAAAAAACTGATTCGTTAAGATTATTAGCTAGACTTTTATTACCAATAATCCTGTGACACAGAGGCACACAAATAGATCAAATTACATAATGCATTATGAAGACATTAAGAATTTACTGAAGATGATGGTGGAGAAGGGTCAAATAGGGTTAATTTTTTTTTTTTTTAATTATACTAAGTTCTGGGTTACATGTGCAGAACATGCAGTTTTGTTACATAGGTATACCTGTGCCATGGTGGTTTGCTGCACCCATCGACCCATCACCTACATTAGGTATTTCTCCTAATGTCATCCCTCCCTTAGCCCCCCACCCCCAACAGGCAACGGTGTGTGATGTTCCCCTCCGTGTGTCCATGTGCTCTCATTGTTCAACTCCTACTTATGAGTGAGAACATGTGGTGTTTGGTTTTCTGATCTTGTGATAGTTTGCTGAGAATGATAGTTTCCAGCTTCATCCTTGTCCCTGCAAAGGACATGAAGTCATCCTTATTTATGGCTGCATAGTATTCCATGGTGTATATGTGCCACATTGTCTTAATCCAGTCTATCATTGATGAGCATTTGGATTGGTTCCAAGTCTTTGCTATTGTGGATAGTGCCACAATAAACATATGTGTGCATGTGTCTTTATCATAGAATGAGTCTTCCTCTGTTGCACAGGCTAGATTGCAGTGGTGTGATCTCAGCTCATTGCAACCTCTGCCTCCTGGGTTCAAATGATTCTCCTGCCTCCACCTCCCAAGTAGCTGGGATTACAGGCATGCACCACCACACACCGCTAATTTTTTTTTTTTTTTTTTTTTGGTATTTTTTAGTAGAAATGGGTCAACGTGTTGGCCAACCTGGTTTTGAACTGCTGACCTCAAGTGATCTGCCTGCCTCAGCCTCCCAAAGTGCTAAGATTACAGGCCCACTTTTAATATTAGATTGGGAAGCTTCTTAGAAGCTCTTAAAGCATTTCAGTGCTTTCATTCAAGTTTCTCCTGGCACTAATTGTCTTTTCTCTCTTATTTCTACAAAATCCTCCTCAGCAACAAGCAAAATGGCCTTTATGTTCCATAAACGTCTTTATGTCTTAACTCTTCTCATCAGACAGCTTTTCCTTTCTACTGCACTGCTTTCACCTCAGACCTTTCTATACTCTCTTTCTTATGAAAAAAAAGATACTTTTTTTTGTATTTTTCAATTTGAATTCCTCTGCCTTTCATAGAACTCTGAAAATGAAGATCTGTTCCAAGACTACAACATCCTAAACTTTAAACAACAACAAAATCCTCTGTATAATTTAGGCTGAAGTTAATTTGTAAAGTTAAAACCACCAGAATAACAGGTGTTGTTTCCCTCTCATAGAAAAGTCCAGAAATGAAAAATATGAAAACTCCCATGTGTCAATAAGGTGCCAGGATGTATTATTTATTATTTTTGCATCATCATTCTCAAAATATGGTTTCCTTCTCCAAGATCTCATTCTCCATGGGGACTGCTGAACATACATTCACTTAATCCATACTTCAGAGTACAAACAAAAGAAATGTGCAAGAGTAAGACAGAGGTTACAGTGTTTCTATGAGCCTTTCTAAAAATTTCTTAAAACCTGTTCACTTATATGCTACCATCTCATAACTTAGCCTCATGGCCAAACCAAGTGGCAAGGGAACCTGAGAAAGGTAATCTTTGTGGAGGGTGCATTGCTGAGAGTTCTGTTAACTAAGAAAGAAGGGAGGATATTGCATAAAAGGAGGTAACCAGAACCCTTTGTAGCACTTGCCACAGTATAAATGTTTTCATTTTCTTTATGATCATCAGCATCATGTAGGCAAGCATTTATTAAACTCTTTGCACATTGCTAAAGTGCTTGGTTTTCATTATCTAATATCTAGTGTTTTCCTCACACCATTCCTAATTTACATATGAAGAAACCAATAATTTAATAATTATATTATTTGACCGAGGTTACAGCTAGTAAGTCACAGGACTTTTTTTTTTTTTAGGACTGTGTAACTGGAAGTTCATGAATTTCAACCACTAGACTTTGTTCTGTTTCCCCTTTAGTCAGGACAGATTTGATGGAATCTAGTCATTTGTAACTTTGAAGTGGCTATCCCAGCAAAGTATCATGAGCCAAATTCTAGATTTGTTTAACTATGAGTATAAAAACCCTAGTGCCTTCGTGAAAGCATTTTCCAGGAAGAAAATGAAAAGATACATCAGTTGAGAAGGAAGAGTTCTGTGGTTGAACTTCATGGCAGTGTATAACAGGTGAATCCAGCTACATGCAGAAAGCAGCTGTTTTTATATAGATGGCCTGAAGAAAGTAACTGATACTCCTGCACAGAGGCTAATGTGAGGCTGAATATTTAATAATATAATAAACTTAGGTCCTGCCTGCAATGATGGCAGGTGGGATAATTGATTATTGGTATAAGTAATGTCTGCTGCACTGATTGTGAGTCAGTATCTAAGCACCTTGTCCAAGACACCAAGTCTCCATGACAAAATGGAGGTATGAAATTTCCACAAACTTGTAGAAGTACAAATACTTGACAGGTTATTAGTCAGAGAATTCAATTAGAGCCAATAGAGGCTTCTTGAAACAAAGGAATGATTAACTTGCCAATGCAAATGTAAACAGAATTCTAATTAGAGAATGCGCTCATTGTTTCTCATTTCTTAGATTAAGTTTGCCCTGTTGTGTCTTTAGCTGGGTAAACTAATTTTTCTATCCAACAATGCTAGTGTACAAATGTTCCCCTGTAATTCCGTGTAGGCCCAGTTTTTGTTAAAAAGAGTTTTAAATGCTGTGAAAAACAAACAAGAGTAACATCATGACTATCCCAGCAAAACAAACAAAAGTATGACCTCATCATTAATTAAAATAACCATACGTATTTGGAAAGATGAGTCTAAGAATGCCATTTCTTCAAGAAATTTTGAGCTAATGAGATTAAAGTACAAGAACTTCATGAGTAAACTATACATTTCACTCAGCATCGATGGCCTACACTGAATGGACTATTGCCTATAAGTCACTGCAATGTTATTATACCTGTAATATATACAGCAAAATCCCTATACAACAAAAGAACAACTATTCCTTTAAGTCAATAACCATGACAGCCCAGAGTTTGAATAGTAATCTTAGAGATTTTCAGTTCTTTGCCTTATTTTTATTATAAATTATTGATGATCGGGTATAAGGGAATCAATTTTCAAAAAAGACGGAGGCACAGAAAAGTGAGAAGAGAAGCCATGTCTGGGGCAAAGCAAAAAGCACACACTATTACAGTGACTCTGTTGAGGGCCACTAGTTAGCCTTTGCTGTGTTTACTGCCCTAGCCCTTCCATCATCACCTCAATTGTCTTTTCCCACACTCTTTCTTTCCTCTTCTTAGTCTACAAAGTTGAACGATCCCAGTCAAGAGTCCAGTAGTTATAGGATGGGTTTTGGCAAGACTATTTTTCCTTCCTTTTCCAAGGCTCTTCAAAGGAAGCAGACCAGGTGGTTTGCTTCTTTTCTTGCTAGTGACTGGAAAGAACAAGGAGAGCAGGAAGCAGAGTAGCTGAGAATACTTCTGATCTTCTTCCATTCATGTGATCCAAAATAGGAAAGCTTTTTTTATTCTCAAGAATAACGCAATTTTGCTGATTAATCTCCATGTAAAGTTCCAGTAAAGATCCTGTAATTTTAAATAACAAGACCTAAGACCCTCCATTAAAATGGAAAATGTCTTTATTTCTAAGAGCATGCCATCATATACTATTACAAATGACAGGTTGAATTAAAATCCAGTTGCAAACCTGGTATAATGCACCTTTCACGTGGCTCCCCATGAAGACAGTTTAAAAGACCAAGAGGAGGGTTAAAATCAGGGGCTAACATCAAGAAAGCATAGAGGGTAAACCTGGAGAAGAGCAGAAGTGGGAAGACCTTTAGCACCTGATAAAATAATAACAAAATCTGCAAAGACTTCAGTTTTAATGAAAAGAGTCTCTAAGAAATTTGACTTTGTTCAAATGAGACCTCCAGCATTAATGAGATACTTCTTCTGCGGTCTTTGTAGTCTGTACTAATTCATATTATCCACTAATTTAGTCAGAGCCCAAGGGAAATGGCAGCATCAACAAGCGACTCCCATCCATTGTGGAAGATGAGGAAGAGGAGGAGGAGGGGGAGGAAGAGGAGACAGCCTCTCTCTCTCCCATCTGCACAAGGGGATCTTCTTCACGCAACAAGAAGGTTGGAAGCAGTAAAACCTACCTGGGCTTAAGCTTAAAGCAACTGGCCTCGGGAACGGTGCCCTTTCACTCACCTATCAGAGTCTCCAGGTCAAATTCCCCCAAAACCAAGCAGGAAATTGACCCCCCCAACCATAATAAAAGGAAAGAGAAGAACTTGAAATTGCAACTTTCAACTTTGAATAATGCTGGACCCCCAGACCTCAGTCCAAGGTGAGAGTTCATATCATATAACTTTCTCACATGATCGTGGCTGCCTTTTACACAGAGTAGTACCTGCCTTCAGCCTTCTGAGCCTTTCTACTCCACAGATTCCTCTCCTGGAATCCTCAGCTTTTCTGAGTTTTGTGGGCAGTTTTTTGAGTATATGTGCAAGTGTGTGTGCATGCAGGATGAGCAAAATAGCTTTAGTCATGTTCTCAAAATACTAAATGTTCAGAAATCCTTCTTTACTCCCTTTATTCATTTTGCACTACCTATTATGTTAAATGTATATTCCTACATTGTGATTTTATGATTGATAATGAAAATAAAAGAAATGGAACAAACTCCATCAATGTTAACCCCTCAGTGCTCGATCTTACCAAAAGTTTCATAAGCAACCAGTTGAAATTAGGAAGAAAATGAAATGCAGATTTTTATTTTTCATACTATTCTTGCCTTATTATCAAGGATGGCTAAAACTTAGTTTTATTTCTGGTCTCTTCAATAAGTAACATAGCATGGTTCTATTTTTAATTTCTTAAAAATCATTTTAGAATCCACTAAAGGTGATTGAAAGCATGAAAAATCCTGATTCCGAAGATGTTCAGGGGTAGGCCATGGTGTAGAAAAGCAACAGCCATCATCAAAATCACATAACAGCTGAATAATAAATAAAAGCATGAACAAAATATGTATTACTTTTTATGTTTCATGTACTTTGCTAGGTAATTTCACATTCACAGTTGCATTTAATCTTCTCAGAACCCTATAGTTTGTGTTATCTCTATTATAAAGTTGTAAGAAGTGAAACTCAAAGGGTAAATATTTTATCCAAGATCTCAGAGATACTAAGTACTGAAAGGTGGATTAAAAGTTTGTTTTTCTGCTTATAAAGCAAGTGATCTTTCTCAAATACTATAGTTTTATTATTTATTTGAACAACATTCTTATTCATTAATATAAAATATTAAGGAAAAGATAAACAAAATAGGTTTAGTAAAAAGTAGGCGGATGATAAATTTTCAAGAATTCAGTTGGAGATGGTAATTTGAAAATATTGCTTAACTCTCCTTCTAAGTTTATACTAAAATTAAACATAATAAATTATAAATCGGAAGAGACTGTATCAGAGCTGAGAAAGAAAGGTTTATATACAATATGATCCTACATTTATGAAAAGAATATATGTTCCTTTAGAGAGAAAATAATATTTTAGGGATATACATCAAAATATTGACTATAGTAGTAGATTACAGGTGATTTTTATTTTCTGGTTTTTTGTTACCTTTATGTTTAAATTTTCTACAATCGACTTGTATTTTTTTAAAATAATGAGTGGATTAGATACTATTTACCATGAAAAGAAGACTAAATACTGATTTAAATATAATTCTTTAACTCTTACATTTAGAATTTTCTGTAAGTCTAGAGTAGAGGTGTAATATTTATTTTCTGTGATGCTAAGGGTTAAAACCTGGAGAGTCGTGATTTAACATGAATTTAGGTAAGAGGACTTTTGTACCATACCTTAAAGTTTTGAATCTGAGAATAAGTAAAAGAACCTCTGTCTACAACTTATCAGTGTGTGATAAGAAACATAATGTGATATAAAATTGTGAGCTACATATATAATTTTAAATTTTCTAACAGCTACATTTTTAAGCGTGATAAAAGTGAAATTAATTTTAATAATATATTTTATTTGACAGAATATGTTCCAAATATTATTTTAAATTTAAATAATATAAAAATAGTCAGTGAAATAATTTACATTTTTTCAACACATTCTTCAAAATCCAGTGTGTATTTTATTGTTACAGCACATCTTAATTTGCACAAACCACATTTCAGGTACTCAATAGCAATAGAAGGCTAATGGTTACTATATCAAATAGTTCAGTTCTAGAGTGTCTAGAATTTAGAAATTTAACATAATATCTTTTAACTCTTTTAAAAATACTGGAATCCATGAATATGAATCCACAACCAGTCAATTTCCTTTATTTTAAGTAGGATTGTTGATGGAATTGAAGATGGAAACAGCAGTGAAGAAAGTCAGACTTTTGATTTTGGCTCTGAACGAATCAGATCAGAGCCCAGAATTTCTCCTCCTCTTGGAGGTAAGATCCATATTTAGTCTTCTCCCAAGGTACAATATTTCTTATTAACTTGTAATGTTTGCTATGGACATTTTTTTGTTTGTTTGTTTGTTTGTTTTTGCTTTCCTGTCCTTAGAATATTCTCTCTGTCATAGACCCTTACCAATACCATTGAATAATTTGACATGAGTTTATGCCATTTCAAAGTTAAAATGTCATTTGTGATCATTTCTCTGTCCAGATTGGATGAGCTTCCCTTTAGCAGCCAAGGTAATTGGTATGCCAGGAGACTCAAATTTCTGCTATATTTCAGAGGATAACCATATTTTACTATTATAAATTTAGATTAATCCACAAAAGCATTATCTAGAGGAAATGCCATGTTGATTGTGCACTGAAGGAACATTGGTTATATTTAAGCAATTTGTTCAGTGTGAGGTTATATATTGCAGTTTTCCAGAGGAAAAACAACTTCAGAAAGATATAAGCATGTTGGAAATGATGGAGAACTATGTGATGTGCTAACCTTCAGTGATGGTGAATTAATGTGAGGGTACTCCAACTCTAATCCCTGTCTTTACTTTTCAATCTTGAGTTTGTTGCTCATAAGAGGAATTCTGTCAACAAGACAAATAAAATGACAAACTCTAAAGAAGACACACCTGTATTTGATAAAAAGAGAATAATGAACATGTGTTGAATAGGCAGAGACAATCCAAAACAATTACCAGCAAACTACCTAATTCAAGGCCAGCAATTCTCACCCAGCCTCCCCTTCCCTTCCCACCAAGTTCTAAAATCCTTGTGTTAGAATGTCCTGGTAATTAACAAATCCCTTTATGAACAAAGCCAAACCCAAGAAAGACATTTGAATGTACAGTACTGGAGATGTTTCTCTGGTAGAATACCAGCATTTCATCTGAATCAGTAATTCTTTCCAGCACTCATCTTGGGAAACTAAAGGATACTTGTGAAATTCCTTGATTGGGAGTGTGAAGTGAGGAGAATGCAAAAGGATAAGGGGTACAGTCTTGATTTATTGATTTAATTGACTTACATATGTTGATATTACTGTGCTTGGACCAAGGATCAAAGAAATCATAGTTATCATCAAACTGATATATTTGCAATGAAAGCCTGTTGACACCTCAATTGGATATTTATCTTTTTGGTTCAACTAGAGACAATGCACAGAAACTCACCATTTCATTCACATATTTCTAGTCCTACCACTCTTTTAGCTTCTTCCTCTTCCTTAGCCTATCACCTACCCCTATGCTTATGCATTCAAGCAACAAGCTTTCTAGAAGTAACTTCCGAAATATCTTAGTTCTCTCTAAGACTTTCTATCATTGCTGCTACCACTCTTTCTCTAGCTACATCTATCTCTTGCTTGCATGACTACCAAAGTCTTTGCTTTGACCTCACACCGTTTTCTATGCAAAGTGAATTTTATTAATTCAAATTTATTTGTATTACTCTATTCCTATGCTTAAAACCCTAATATGGTTTTATGTTGCCCTTTGTATGAAATTCAAACCTATTGCATAATTACTTTATATTAGTTATTTTACTTTTTTTGTAGAGATGGGATCTCCCTATGTTGCCCAGGCTAGTCTTGAACTCCTGGGCCCAAGCAATCCTCCTGTTTCAACCTCACAAAATGCTGGGATTACAAACATGAGCCACCATGCCTGGCCTACTTTTTAAATGTTTATTTTTCCTGCTCGATTCTAAACTCCATGAGTGTCAACTGTATTTTCTTTATTGGTTGCTATCTCCTCTAAAAGAGGGCTGGCCTATCGTATATGACCTTCAATCATTCGTTGAATGAATGGATTATCTCTGCAAGATATATCTGCAAAACAATTTCTTATTACTCTGTTTCAGAGTGTTTTGAGTTACTTTTCTTCCCCTACCAACAAGTTTTCTCCTCATAATTGACCAGAATTAGGGTGGTTATATCTGTCAAATCTTTTCCACTCAAGCTGGCACTGACTCACCTGTACTCTTGTCCCTGACAAAAATAAATATATTTGGAAGAGCAAAGTAGAGAAAAAGTGAAGAAGAAAAACTAAAAGCTGGGAGAAATTACCCTTTAGAGTGATGCAGGAAAAGAAAGGCAACCTGCAGTGGATATTAGTAGCTGATATATATGTGGGAGGAAAATGTGCTCGTGGGCACAGGAATCAATGTTTAGAATGGAACGAGAGGATGCAAATAATATCCCTTTTCTATGGCTTGAGCACTAACTATGATACAGTTTTAAACAATGGTCAAAGAAAAGGAAACGTGCCATCTTGGAAAATGGTGGTGACTGTACTCGAGGAAATGGGGTATTTGCAATGGACACATCCAGTCACTGTAGGTGCAATCACCACCATGATGTGTATATCTGGTGCCATCCAGAGGAATACAAAAACACTTGCTTGATCCCCAAAAGACAGTACAGTGCACAGACATCAGAAAAGATTAAAAGTGGTAGCGTGGGCTTTCTTCCATATTCTAATTGCCTCAATCCTCAAATATGAGATTTATTCCTAAAGGACTCATTCTGTGTGTGTGTCACTTTCCAGATCCAGAGATTGGAGCTGCTGTTCTCTTCATCAAAGCAGAGGAGACCAAGCAGCAGATAAACAAACTCAACAGTGAGGTATGGAGCTCTTTCTTTTGTCATACTTAAATGGTAAGAGGAGATATAGATCCTAGTTACTCACAGAAGCAGTGTAATATAGTAGTTACAAGCATGCATTCCAGAATGAGACCACCATGGGTGAATCCCTACTCTGCCTCATGTAAGTTGTGTGACCTCTGACAGGTCACGTACCTTCTCTCAAGCTCCACCACTCCATGTGTAAGCAGGGAAGAAGAATAATACCTGCCTCGTGGCCCTTTGTGAGATTAAATAAAATGATCTAGGTAAGTTGTTTAGCATAAAGTAGGCAGTAAATAAATTATTATTATAATTAATATCATAGATATATGCATATTTGGTTTAATTGGTACATTTTAAACTTTTTCGTGACCTTCCATTTTTAATGAGTTAAAACAAGGTCACTAGTTCACAGAAGAATGCTGTTTCTCAGTGTAGTCAAATGGCCTGAACTCTGTCCTTTCCTCTGACTTGTATTTGCTTGTGTCACCTTGGGTACTTTACCTCTCTAAATCTTACTATCTGTTCATTTTTAACAGTTTTATTGAGGTATATTTATATATCATAAAATTTGTCCATTTCACCAATAATCCAGTGAGTTTTAGTAACTTTATTGAATCCATCATGTATAAATCAGTTTTAGGATATATTTTATTCCCACAATAAGATCTCTCATACTCATTTTACAGTTAATCTCTATTCTTATGTCCCAGCCCTAGGCAACTACTTATCTACTTTCTATTTCTATAAATCTGCCTTTTCTGGCAATTTTATAGACATAAATATAAAAATAAGATAGTTTCTTGATTACCATCTTAATTGGGGTCTCTCTCATAAAAAATAAAGTAAAACAAGTTCTGAGATGATATGGGGGCAAATAGTTTATTTGGAAGGTGATACAGGAAGTATAATTAAAGAATAGAGAAGTAAGACAGAAAAGGAAGGAAAGCAAAACAGAAGTGTTAGTGAGATAGTTAAACTTGTAAACAACTGGGGCTCAATCCCACTGGAGGCCTCTGAGAGACTATGTAGGACGACTCAAAATTATTCAACCAAGAAGCAAGGAAAAGTGGAGTTGAGGCTCTTCAGGCAGCCCTGAAGAAAAAAAAAATTCCTCACTCGAGACTATGCAGCAAAACCTGTGCCTGTCTTTGGTGACCTTCAGGGTAGACCCAGGCAAGGGCATGTGGGCAGGGACAGACAGTGCAGTAGAATCCTTTTCTAGGAGTAAAGTTATTAATAGGTGATTTGATGACACCTTGGGGAAAATGTAATCACGTGATGCTATTGGTGAGATTTACGAAAAATTAAGTTCATATAATCAACTTCCAGTTATCTGTAATAAGGGTGGACTGAATAGCTTGTCATAAAATCTGCAGGTTTCTCTTAAACCTGTGCTTCTTCAGCTTTATGGAGATGTATGTTTTACTGCCATCTTCCTTCTGCACCTGCCCTCTCTGGAGCTGAGATTGTTGCTAATAAGAAGTAAGAGAGCCAAAGGGCAGACTACCAAAGCAGAAAAGGAAAGCTAGATGGTCCACTAACTGGCTTGAAAATACTTAAATCCAAAAGACTCAGCCATGCGCTGGATCACCCAAATAACCTCCTGTTAAAAGCAAAAAACAAACCAAAAAAACACTGAAACCCAAAACAAAACGAATGCAACTCCCTGTTGGAGAACTGGATGTTAACCTTCTATTGAACAGTTTCTCTTCAGATACCGCTCTTAGCTAAAACCACCCATCAATATCATTTGAATTCTTTCCTCTCGTATTTGAGAAAAGCATTTAATAATTTTAAGAACCGACTGATCTGTATCTTAGTTCATATATTAGAGTTAGTGATTCTTCTGAGAAAAAATATCTATATGTTCACCTTTAGGAATGTAGATATTTTTTCCAAGTTAGGGCTGTAAATCACACAGTTTGTTATTTTCCTTTGACAATGTGAATCAGGGGTAGATCCATTAACAAAAACAAAATTACCATTTGAAAAACAAAATATCTTCCCAGTATGATCCTGTATTCACGATTTCTTTTCTTTTTTTTTTTTTAATCATACTTTAAGTTCTGTGGTACATGTGCATAACATGTAGGTTTGTTACATAGGTATACACGTGCCATGGTGGTTTGCTGCCCCCATCCACCCATCATCTACCTTAGGTATTTATCCTGATGCTATCCCTCCCCTAGTCCTCCAAGATGACATACATCTTTTTATCTTGTCAAACATTTAAATAAAAAGGGCAAGATAAAATATCAAGGTCCAACTATTCTTTCCCAAAGAATTAGGTTTTCCATAAAGGAAAATATCTGATTTATTCACGGTTGAAGCTTAAGTAGAAAATTCTTATCCTTCACACATAATTTAATTTATACACAGTTTTGACCCTTTGGATAGTGCATTAAAACCCACTAAGACAGGCAGAATAAAAAATACAAATGGACTTCAAACTTTAAAATTATCCCTTTTCTAACCTATTTTTCTTTTCCTCATCTTTCCTGTAAAATGATAGTTTATATAGAAAAAAAACTTTTTGAAAGTCCAAACCTGATTTTACCATTTTGCCTATTTTCTATTACTAACATGTGTCATCACTTGATTGCTTTATTCTTTGTTTTTGCTATTATTTGGTTAATAGCAAGCAAGAGAAGAATTGATAATAAATGTGGGATGTACTGCATGATAAAAACTCTGCCACCAAAAGGACGACCTAAAATACGTGTGACACATGCCAGGCAGACTGTGGGGCACTGTGTGAGGTGTCAGAGCACTGCAGAATCTCTATTCTAAGATTTGTTCAAAGATTTAAGACATAAAGAAACCGTTCAGCAGTGTGTATATTTCATAATCATAATCTGCAAGCTAAATATGGAACAAAAGTCTGAAAAGGAATAATATTGGTAATTACCTACATTCACAGGTTAGGAGAGTTTAAAAGATGTGGGGCAGTTGCTAATATTAGAACGCTTTGACCACATTGCCATTGCTTTACAGCATAGTATGAAATAGTGTGACTCTAAGGAAACTCTTTGAAAATTACAAAAATGTCACAATAGGGGCCTTGGGCTGTGTAAGTCAAATGCTCCACTTCTGAAAAGGTTTGTAGGTGAAGGTTAGAGTGCATTCTCATTTCTGAAATGTGGCTGACCCAGAAAGATACAGGCCATAGCTTACCAACGGAGACTGTGTGCTCTGACACAGCAGGCATAAGGCATAAAACACACTATGGAAGAAAGAGAATTCACTTTGGAAAGAGACAAATATTTAGATTCCTATTCTATGATTTCAACAAGGTGTTTACCTTCCCTATGCACTATTGTCCTAAGGCTTTAGAGAAAATTATTTTATATCATCACTATGACCTAAAAGTTAGATTTCAAATTTAATTTTGTAACATCAAGATCTTTTAGCTTTATTTTCTCATTTTCAACTCCTCGAAAAGTCCAGTTACTGTTTCTAACATTTTGAAGAGTCCCACCGTTATCAGATAAGCACTGTTATAAATTATACTGAGGTAACAAACCCCAAAGTGATTAAAATTTATTTCTCGTTCAAGCAAAATGCCTAACACAGGTCAGTAGAAGTGGCTGCACCATCTGGAATGTCACTGATTACTGTTTTCCATTTGAAGTGTGAAGCATAATTGTTTGGTTTGAAGGATAAACACATCATTTCTGCCGGTATTTTATTCACCAGAACTAATTCCATGGGCATGGTTAATTTCAATGGGAGAAGACAGTGTAAGCTTTTGTATATCCCAAAAGAAATAGAAAACTGGACACTGGGCAGGGTGCAGTGGCTTACGGCTGTAATCCCAGCACTTTGGGAGGCCAAGGTGGGCGGATCACAAAGTCAGGCGATTGAGACCATCCTGGCTAACATGGTGAAATCCCGTCTCTACTAAAAATACAAAAAAAATTAGCCGGGCGTGGTGGCAGGCGCCTGTAGTCCCAGCTACTTGGGAGGCTGAGGCAGGAGAATGGCGTGAACCCGGGAGGCAGAGCTTGCAGTGAGCTGAGATAGAGCCACTGCACTCCAGCCTGGGCGACAGAGTGAGACTCCATCTCAAAAAAAAAAAAAAAAAAAAAAAAGAAAAAGGAAAAGAAAACTGGATACTGGCAAACCCTCATAGTATCTACCATAGCACCTAAAAGCTAATAGGAAAATTTTGTCCCTCATTTAATTTTGCTCAAAATTCAATTCCAAGTATCCCCCAATTAAAAGTATTATGTATTATCAAAGTAAAAAAAAAATACCAGCAATGAAAGACCTTCCACTGGAAAACAAAGAATCTCAGTTGTTTTCTAGGTTATACTTGACAAAGCTAATAGATTAATGAAATCTCCTTGAGTCAAAGAGATGGAATAATAAGAGAGGCTGTTTTTTATTTAAAAGTTGCTTTACTACTTTTCTAAATGCCTACAAAAACAGGATATTACCAATAATTCACATAAGGGAACCTACATGAGTAATATATTATAGTAAAGTTGATTCCTTAGTCCTCTGAATTAGTGTTGCCATTATATCTTTTCATTGACAAATGAGTCAACTGAAACACACTGACAGAATTGTCAGGTCATTCCAAGATTTGTCTATATAGGCTTTTTTCTTCTTCATCCTGATCATATATAGTTATTGTTCATCAATTTTCAAAGCAAAATATAAACAAAGACTGTACATTCACTTTTTGACTTAGAATGACAAAATTCATTTAACTCCTGGCAAAATCAACGGTTTTTCTTTTAATTTTTAGATACGTGTTATTGATGTTAATACTACGTTTTGTGGACATTGGTTTTTAACCTGGAATGTTTCCAACTAATTTATGCTTTGTAGAACTCTTTTTGGTTATTTTCTAGTTCTCAAGCCTATATAAATAGGCAGATTTGTAACTCTCATGAGAATTTTACTGCTTTTTAAAAATTTTTAATAACAATGTGGATCTCTCAAAAGAAAAAAAAATATGTACGCCATTCAGAAAACTTCTCCTGTGAGGT